TTCGTGTTCCTCGCTATGCCCCTAAGCCAAGTATCAAGTTGGTGGAAAAGCTATCAAAAAAATCTCAACTGCCGAAGTTTGCTTCAGCGCCAGCCCCCGATGTCGATTTTTAGTGAAATATGGACTGTTATGCCCTCAGTTTAACTTTATTTTGCGTGTCGAGTCTTCGAGGAAAACGTCGTTGCACTGGAAAATGACCAAAGGAGTTTCCGAAGACCTTCTTGCAAGAATCAACGCTAAATATTTGAGCGACTTGGTCCTTGTCACTAAAATTTTCCCCTACAGAATTGCACTTTCTCAGTCCCTTCTGAACCAATTTAAAGACCGCTGTTGAAAATTGAAAATGGGCGAAAGCACCTTCTTTCTCGCATGGCAAATGTATCTCCCGGATGCCTTCACTTATATGGAGATTATTTTTTGTTGCGTTTAAATGCGAATTCTGGATTTATTTTAGATTCGAGGTTCAACAGACTAAGTTCCAATAAGTTCCTAGCCAACATAACAGAAACTTAATTCACAGTAGCTGTGACTTCTTTCTCGCCTTTCCTTGAATTGGTGTGTTGCGAGCGCTCTACAACTACACTCCTTAAGCCTGGATCCAGATTAGGCGTGGCATTTGAACGTGGCACAGGAATGCTGTTACTCGTGGAATATTCCAGTCTGGGAAAACTGTCATCTTGTTCTGTAATGACAGAGACAAGTGTGTCAAGATGAAAACATCTCACCAGAAGCATAGACACCTTAAGGTTAAGTTTGAAGCTTGCGAGCCGACGCCTAATCGATCTCAGGTTCCGTATACAGCTGCGGAAAAAAAAACTTGGAACAAGCCGAAAATAATCGGAATTTTCTGTCAAATTATTTTTTTTGATTTTCCTTGACTTGTGTACTGAAAATATCTGGATGAGATAACGTATGTATGGGAGACTGTTTCCATATCCAGAAGAAACAACCCTAAGCAAACAGAAACACTACGTATTGCGGGCGCCAGTGCATCATGATGACAAAATGACAGTGCAAAAGCTTTTACCTCGTCAGGCACCTTTGAGGAAAGTTGAGACATGAATAAAAGGGAAGAAGACCACCAAATGCTGGATAGTTCTCTCTTGCTGAATTCTTCGCTATCTGCTTACATTTCCACTGTTTGTCATTGAATAGTAGTTTCAGAACCTTTTGAGACGGCAATGTGGCTTGTTTCAGTTTTTTTTTCCGCACTCTGCCAGTAGGCCCATAGAAGTACAGGCATTTGCCTGTGTATTAGAGTCTCCGCATGCTCTAAAATACACATAATCCGCGCTCACAGACATTTCCTATGGCCTAACCATTCCGTTGCCAGAAGCAAAGTCTGGTTCTAAGTTTCTGAGATTCTCCCACGGCTTTCCATCAGTCAACGAAAGCGCTGTTGCTCTCACAAGTGGCACTTCTAACGTTTCCTTAGTTGTGCCACCCACCGGAAATGGATATCTTCATATCACAAGTCAGTTTTGTTGTTTTTTTATAGTTGATGGCATTAGTATTGAATGACGCGGAGAGATGATTTTTGAGCTAGAAATGGCAGGATAAGCCTTGCTGGCATAAAATGAGCACGTAGTCCGGAGAACTCGTCCAGAGAGCCCGCCAGGGATCCCCAACTAGTGTTCTCTGTGTTCTTAATCTTTTCTTGACTTTTTTCCTCCTCGCAGAATCATCTACTATAGGTTTGTGATGGAGCGTCACTGTCCACAATATGCAATCGCGGAGTTTGCCTTCAATCTTCCGTTCTCCTTCGTTCTGATCCTTCGTCTCTGGTTTCTCGCCCCTGATAGGTATGCCTTCATTCGTCTCCTCGTTCTTCAAAATCACTCGCCGCTGGAAGGGCATTATTTAGGGTGTATTCAATGAAATTGTTTGCTTGTTTCTTTTACACTCGAGCCGCTTACTGCTTGCAGCATCGTACCAAAACACTATTACGTACGACTTGCGATAGTGAAAGCGAAATCCTCGAAACAATTCCCGCGTCAAGTGTAACAGGTAGCAGGTGCTCAGTCATAAACCAAAAGCTCATCAAAAACTCATTAGTAGGGAAAGAAACGAAAAAAATGGGAAGCATCCTGAGCACGGACCCCCTAGCAGTGGGGCCGGCTTCTTGGACGAGTTCATCGTAAGGACGAGCTCAGTCAGCAGGATTCGACGTGCTACCAATTCCCGGCAAGAGCATAGGAAATCGCCCTGCGACGCTCCAAGCAACGCTATGAACACACGCAATTTCGCTTGCAAGCCGTTGTCTTGCAGAGTTTCAGTACGCGGTTGCACCGGTAAAACTCACGCGTCTCTAGCTTTGTTACCTCACCATTTCGAGTGACGAAAGTGGTATATTCTCTGCGAGTGCGGACAACGGTGCCAAAGGAACGGAGGCATTTCGCTGATCACTTAGTCGCGGAAAGTGCTTTAAGGCTGCTTGGAAAGTTCTTGTTCTCAATCATTATGCCATTCGCAATTTTCCTTATCATTCCGCGGTTTACTGGCTGTGAAGGCTCCTTTTCAGAGCTTTCAACAGTTCTTTCTAGGGTATTACTGTAGCCGTAACCAAGATGATATAACAGTTTTATTGGCTAACGTTTCGGCCTTATCGCCTTCGTCAGAGCCTGGAAAAAAAGTCAAAAATCAAAGTGAAACTACCCTCGGACATCATTTCAAACCTCAGATAAGCTAGTCCCAGACCAGAAGGATCCAGAAACCTGTCATAGGTCACAACCACAAAACGACTCACCTTGAATGTACGGCCGGTTTTTGCTTGAGACCACCGCTAAACTGACTCCCCGTGAGTGGCTTCAACTGACCTGGCCCCTTGACTCGAAGCCGATGGCAATTGAAGCCCACACAGGTCAGCAAACCGGGCGAGCTCATTTGTGCGAGATGCGAGGACGTGATGCGAGAACCACAGACTTCGGCGCGCAAAACTTTGGAAGCGTTTTGGATATGCGCTAAAAATCCCAAAATGAACAGAAAGGACGAATGCCTGGCCATCACAAACGAGCTCGCCCCGTTTGCTGACCTGTGTGGGCTTCAATTGCCATCGGCTTCGAGTCGAGGGGCCAGGTCAGCTGAAGCCACCCACGGGAGTCAGTTTAGCGGTGGTCTCAAGCAAAACCGGCCGTACATTCAAGGTGAGTCGTTTTGTGGTTGTGACCTATGACAGGTTTCTGGATCCTTCTGGTCTGGGACTAGCTTATCTGAGGTTTGAAATGATTTCCGAGGGTAGTTTCACTTTGATTTTTGACTTTTTCCAGGCTCTGACGAAGGCGATAAGGCCGAAACGTTAGCCAATAAAACTGTTATATCATCTTGGTCACGGCTACAGTAATACCCTAGAAAGAACTTCAAAGTATGCCAAGATTCATCGAGGGTCGAACCTGGACGCTTTCAACAGTTTACTAATGCCATCTACCACTGCTTGCCTTATCTGCCTTGTTTTGTGCGTTGCTATGCTGTTTAGTGAAACGTTTATTCAAAATTCCCCAGCGTTTTGGCTGAATCGTTTTCTCCACAAGCGGACGAGCTTACCGCTCGTGTGAATTCGTCTACTGCTGCACAGTGTGCCACTGATCCTCTTGAATGGGAAAGAGCTTCGAAGACGATATTTCAGTCGAAATGTTAGATCATAATGAGCAGGCATAACCACCTGACGGCTTCGTAGACCACAAAACGAGTGAAATGTTGATCAGGTCAAATGCACACACATTTACTCATGATCCCTGCAAACGATAAGGCCTGTGAGGGAGCGGGGGCATGAACTGGCTCCCTGTCCAGAACGGCCCTTCCAATTGTTGCAGACTCAGGATTGTATCGCAGATGGAACGGCCGCCTTGGCAGCGCCCATTCCACGCGCCATCATGGGCCCAGTTGTTTATAGGCATCATGAGCGCACGTACAGGGGTAGAAGCAAAAATGAAGGCGCTTTTTCAGAGCTTCTCAGTGTTCACTTCAAGCACGGTGAATAGGTAAATGGAAGATACATGGTAAAGTTTCAGTGAGATGCACCTCCTCGAGCAAAATCGAAACTCCCTCTCATCATTCCAGATGAGAAGCACTTCCACCGTCGCTATCGATCTCAAGAAAGCCTACAGCACTCGCTTCAGTCTGAACCGCTGCTTGGTTCCCAGGGTTGACTCTCTCGCGTGTGTTTTGGAGACTCTCGTTCTGGCAAAGGAAAACCCTAGCCTTTAGCTGTTGTTACAATGTCATATATTTTTCATGATTCATTTCCAATCCTATGTCTCGATCGTCAGAACAGGTAAGCCCCATGGGTTCTGAAGATATCACGAACCTGCGAAGTACTAGTGGTAAGGTGACAGATTCCTCTTGCCACCTGCGCATTCAAATGCATGAACGGCTCTCACACAGACCAACCACGTCTTCTCCTCTCTGAGGCTGCTAACTTTCTAGGGGTCGTCTGGGGGGGGATAAAAACTCTGGTTTATACATCAGCTGACTGCCGCAAGTCATTGTATAGGTCTGAAGCTGCTACGATTCTGAATGGGAGCAGAATGCGAGCTACTTTTCAGAAAGAGAATAACCAACGGCGAAAGTTGTATCACTTTTCGTCTATCCGAAGGGTGTATACCTTAGTTCACTGCGAATGAAGGGGCGTGTTGGGAAGTATGAGTGTGCCACGGCGCCAAACCCGTCCTCTGCCAGTTGTTGAAGCGGGTATGCGACAACAGTTGGTAGAAAACGAGTGATATGAACGATATGAAACAGTCTTGTCACTTGCGCCGTTCAAAAAGTAGTGGAGAATATGTTTGACACCACGTCAAATTCATCCCGCCTGATCCCCTTACACAATCGTTATGTTGCCAAGGACATGGGACAACCAAACACTGAACCTGAGATACTGATATGATACTAGAACGTCAATAGTGGGGATATGAAGGCAAGTCACATATTCCAGCGTAAGGCAGTAGAGCAATACGCCTTTTTTCCTTTTCCTATGCTTGATCTGATTAAAGAAATGGGCGAAGAGTTCATTGAAGGACTGGAACCTTCAAATATTTATATCGATAAATCTGCAGCTCTTCTGCTCCTCGACTGTGCTTGGATTTCACTTGGGCATGAAGTATGAACTCTTTGCTCCCCTTAAATATCTGTCTTTTTGGTGGTTCTCGTTGTGATCAAAAAAGGCAGCTCACCCTCCGTCATCCGCTCCACCTCCGCCTCCTCCAACACCGAAATAGACACTTCTAGCGCCTCCTCCACCGCCGCCGCCACCGCCGCCTCCATACGATCTAAAAAGCATGAACTGACTAGGTACTACTAGAGGCAGTAAGGTTCTCAAAGATTTACCCTTTGCCTCCTCCACCTCCTCCTCCGTAACCGCCTCCGCCTCCGCCTCCACCTCCACCAACGCCCATGTAACAGCTTCTAGCCCTGAAATTACTGGCTGTTACTAAGAATGTCAAGACGCTATGCAGTGTCTACAGAAATAGAAGGGAATGAACAAAGAAATTTCTACCCACCCATCGAAGCCGCCTCCGCCTCCTCCGCCGCCTCCTCCAACTCCGAAGTAACAGCTCCTCGCGCCGCCACCGCCGCCATCGTAGCCGCCACCGCCTCCTCCTGTGCTGAAGAAACCAGCGCCGCCCCCACCTCCGCTACTAGGAGGTGGGGCACCGATGGCTGTTTTTGTGTTACCGTAATCATCCACAGCGCGAATTGCTGTTTTGGCGCCACCGTCGTCATCTACTCTTCCAACAGCTGTCCTTGTATTGTCCATTTCCACTTGTCTTACAGCAGTTCTCGTCTCGTCTCTTTCCACATGTCTTATAGCAGTTTTCGTCTCGTCAGATCTGAATAGTGTAATGAAATTTCGCAGAGAATTGTGAATGGAAAACCGTTATGTTATCCTCACGCTGATCCGCCTCCGCCTCCTCCGTAGCTGCCACCGCCACCTCCGCTACTGTATCCGCCACCGCCTCCGCCGCCGACTCCAAGGTAGCAGCTACGTGCACCGCCATCGAATCCTCCGCCTCCGCCACCTCCACCTCCGACTCCCATGTAGACGCTTCGTGCACCACCACCTCCGCCGCCGAAATCGGATCCGCCGCCACAGCATCCTCCTTTGGATCTGCATAGAAAATCTGCGATAATTAGTGGTCATGCAGTTGAAGCTATTAGCACTTACGTTGAGTAGCCTCCACCTCCTCCACCGCCTCCGCCGCCACCTCCACCTCCTACTCCCATGTAGACACTTCGAGCACCACTGAAAGTAGAAAGTTAGAAGTTATTGTGGCGCACCTGTTCCTGACGCCCCTCATCACTGCCAGCAACTCTTTTAATGTTGCTGATTGTACGTAACTGATGGAAGTGTAAATATACGCTTCTTGACTTATGTTGCTAGTTTTTGATTCATATTATCAGAAATCGCATACGAACAGGTCCGCAGCGATACGAATTCAGTTTTTTATACACTACACTAAGCGCTGTTGGGCTTGAGGAGGGTATTTGGCACTTTCACTGATCTCTTTTGCTGACGAATAATCCTACTATATATGAAACGGCAACGTCTGTTTGTCTGTTTGTCTGTCTGTCTGTCCGGAAATTCGGAATCACCTGAAGAGCCAGTTGGAGGGGGCGGGTCAAGGGTGGGTTGGGTAGGGCATGGGCCAAGATGTACGGAACACACATGAACTGAGCTAAGCCCCGCCCACTGTGGGCGGGGCATGCGCACAGTTGTGAGCTACATAGTTCAAAAATTCGTAGTTCGGTTCTAGAAGATCCCGGAGAGCGGAAATTGTGGGAAACGATAAGCAGTCAGTTGGCGGATGAAATGAGGGAGTCACACCCGTGATGGGCGAGGCGTGCTATAGGTGGGCGGTGCTCGCTACAGAACTTTCAAAAATTCGTAATTCGGTTCTAGAAGATCCCGGAGAGCGGAAATTGTGGGAAACGATAAGCAGTCAGTTGGCGGATGAAATGAGGGAGTCACACCCGTGATGGGCAGGGCGTTCGCCGAAGTGAACGGTGCCGGGGACAAAAACCCTCAAAACATATCCGAAAAACTCCAGGAAATGGGGAGTAAGCGAAACTGAGCAATGGTTGGGCAGGTGAAGTTACTTAGGAATAACCCTAGGGAGTATACCAAAAATGGGGGGGCCACGAATCCCAAGCCTTGCTCTATCTGCTACGATTCGATCACTACATCGCCGTATGAGCAGCCCACTATTGAAAACGCTCCGTTAAAATTATGGAGCGAGCCTGGCGAAGCCAGGCCAGCTCGGCGAAGCCGGGCTAAAAAGAAGGAGGAGAGCTCGGCGTTAGAAGGGCGATCCGACTGGTAAAATAGAAACCGTTTTAAGGGCTTGAGTCCCCTGAGCTGGTTCTCCACTTTTTGGTCACCCTCCGAAATGCCAGCTGAATTCCTATGGCCTTCTTGACCAAATGTGCCAGCTTTGGGTCATAACGTTTGCTAATCTAACGAGTGAGCGAAGGAAGCGAGTGGACTCAGCCTAAGGCACTAGAGCGGACCTTCGGCGAGTCACAAGCGCCTGTCCCGTCTACACAAAGATGCAAGATTGGTGGACCCTGTACAATGGGCACATCCTTCTCCGAATATAAGATTTGGACCTATGAGCCTTATACTAGAGTAAGATTCCATCTCTGTCAAGGCTTATTCGAGAATGCCCCGTCTGTAGCTCGTAATCCCGGAACTAGCCTTAAAAACACATTCGGGTCAACAGTCGTGCATTGTAGCGCGGACCGCAAGTGCAGAGGAATGCGATCACGGTTGAAAAATGTCGTGAGGATGTAAGGACGCTAGGTGCTCGTAACATGGCAGTGCTCCGCCCATTGTCTCATCTACGCTCCACGCTCATTACCAAGTGCTGGAATTTCGCTACTAGTTAATATCAGTCGGATGGTGAGAGTTATATAATGATGAAAAGGAGCTGATATCGCTGTGATACCAGCAAGTGAGAAACCGAACACGCTTCCCTCTTCCGTATGCTCGTTGACGTTGCCATCAGAAAGGACGGCACTGTTCAACTATTACTACCCCAGTTTTGCGAAAACAAGGCCGGATCTTGATCGACTTTTTTCTACGGGGGCAGATTTGGCTGAAATTTGGGTTCTAGGGGTAATTCGACCTCCTGAACACGAATATCACATCCACTTGGCCTGAAAGTGCCTGGCGCCCGCGCCACAGGCGCCAGCAATTCGTGGCGCCGCCTTTGGCGCGGGCGCCAAGCGATTTCAGGCCGAGCGGATGTGATATTCGTGTTCAGGAGGTCGAACTACCCCTGGGCACAAGTTTTCAGCGGATTTGGTGATCTAGAAACACTTTGGCGCCGGCGCCTGTGGCGCGGGCGCCAGGCAGTTTCAGGAGGAGTGGATGTGATATTCGTGTTCAGGAGGTCGAATTACCCCTAGAACCCAACTTTCAGCCAAATCTGCCCCCGTAGAAAAAAGTCGATCAAGATCCGGCCCGTTTTCGAAAACTGAGGTAGTAATAGTTGCACAGTGCCGAAAGGGACTCCTATGTTAGAAATCTCCTTCACTTTCACTTGGTTTTTTGGTCACGTCAATGGCAATGTGTTCGCGCCAAACGACCGCCTTCCCTTTGACAGCTTGGGCGGCAATGCATGATAAGTGTGTGAGTGTTGATTACAGCTAAGCAGAACAACAACCTCATTTCTAGGCACGGTCGCCAATGGTGCGGTATGAGTGTGAGAGAAGCAGTGAATTGACTCGTAAATCGCGAAGTGGGAGTACTCCTGTACTTTCCCGTCCTGTGTTTTCTCTTCAAGCTCTGACCACGCATAGCGAATGGTGGGGGTAGGAATCACTGGTTGGGAGAATGTACCAAATGTATCGTTTAGGACACTAGGAGGCTCAAAGAATCGGCGGTTCCCTACTTAGAGGGAGTCAGTGAAGAGGTTAGCAGGTCCTTTCGACATTCTCCTGTTCTATCCCGTTGCCTATGAACGAGGGCCTACCTAATTCTCGCAAAGGAGCGCTACGAGGTTGCGTTCTCGCCAGCTTCCTACAGTATCTGACGAAGAGGTACGGTGAAGCGAGTGCCTGGAGTTCATTTCTCGCTGTTGGAGCTTGAGGGTCTACGAACCGAGCTGGGAGATTGTTGCCAGCTCTGGTAGGAACATAAACAGGGTGTGGATAAGAGCGTGCTGGCGGCACAAAACAGTTTTGATGTTCCCCCTCGGCTGGATTTGGCAACTGCATACAAACACCCATTCGCTTCTGCGCTCACCAGTACCAGTTTTCTGCAGACGCTTTTCACATGCAGCGACAAAGAGCCGAAGCCAGCCTTATGAGCGCTTAAACACTTCTCTTCTACATTCACAACTTACATGATTTACAGTTTCGCTCGCCGTGGATGATGGGGCGCGGCGGTGCGCCAAATGCAGTGCGCGGCCACGCCCCGTTATCCGCAGTGAACCAGACTTTGTTCATTCATCCCAGCCTTTCTGCCAGGTCTCGATATTTTGTACTGTCTAGTAGTCCAAACTCGTGGTCATGACAAGCGAAAGTGGTGAAGTGCTACATTGTGTACTGCTATATCACCCTTTTTTACCACGCGAGATATCCACTTACTGCACTCGCAGCTATCTCAAAAGGTGGTCAAAGTTAATGTGGAATGAAGGGGGGGGGGGGGCACTTGACCATACCATAGGAACGTGACGAAAGTCCGCCGGGACCGTAGCTAGTATACCACGTATGACCACGAGTTTGAGTAATAGGGCGGTTGCAAAGAAGAGAAGCAAAAATTTGTCGCTCAACTGCTCCCTCTCCTTTATGGTATTCATTCTACCTACTTACTGGTCAAAATCCTGAGGCAACTTCTCATTGGTTCAAAACGCTGAGCAAGAGGGAGATCAGCGAAAAGCTTCACCTGCTCATCCCACCGGCCCCCCCATTGCTCCAACAGCTACCATGCGTACCGTTTAATGTTTTCTGTGGTTTTATAAACCGAGTGAATGATTCACGTACCCGTATCCATCCGAACCGCCGCCGCCGCCTCCTCCTGTTGGATTGAAGTATACGCTTCTTGCCATCTCTTCACCTTGCGCAAACGAGTTACCAAGGAGAAGTGACCACTAGGAATGAGAGTCTCTCCAAAAAGTGAAGCCGTCTCGGATCATGTTGTGATACTGATATTCCTCAGACACTTCCGGGTAAACAAAGTCAGGCCGTGTTTACGTACCTCAAGCCAGACTCAAAAAGTAATTGCTAAGAGCTGGCTGCGGTTAGCCGTACGGACTTCTTACATCGTTGAAACAGTCATTCTGTCAAATCATGCTCTGGGATCTCTCCATCTTCACTACACAAAGACTAACACCAGAAACTCAACCAGTCGTTCGATTGTTGCTCTTTTTGGCCCCTTAGACGGTTGTAAGCAGTGACAAGTCAAGTGATGGTGCCTACTTAGAAAGGATCGGATAACCGTGACAGGGTGTGTGGCCCATTTTACAAGAGAAGGAGCGCTGAACGACTCGGCAAACAAGCTGTGTACTCTACATTTCTCATTTTTTCTAGTCTACCCCTCCCCCCTTGTTACCCAAGAACCGGGCTCATACAAATGACCGCGCCGACCAGAAATAGATCAGAATGGGATCATGTCTTCTAACCCGCACCCTGTTGCCTTTCAATTGGCTTTGAAGTGTTCTAAAACCGAATTTCAAACTCTTGACCTCTTCCCGCTCACGTCGGGGCAAGCTCCTCCTATGCAGTTTTTTACCCATCCATCTCCGCC